TTTTTTTAATTGATCTTTATTCTTTAGACATTAAAAGAAAAAAAAAGTGAAAATTCTTTGTACATTTATTTCAAAAAAAAAAAAAAAAAAAAAAAAAAAAAAGACCAAGAGTAAGCAATATCGTATTTCTAGCCCTCCGTAAAAACTTAGAAGTCAAGTTTTTCGTAAAACAAATTCAAATATAAAAGCACATGGTAATATTTCTAGATTTGTTGTTAGGACTGTTACACACACACACACAAAAAGTCGATTTATGTTCGAATATTTTTTAATTTATTTTTCTTTTGGTTTCTACTAAAAAACGTTTTCAACATTCATTTATTTTTTAGAAGAAAAAAATCCTTCTGTACACAGCTGCTGTCTACTTTGCTTTTGGTTTGTGTTTATAAATTAATTTAAATTAATGTGAAGAAAAAAAAAAAAAAGAAAATAGCGAAGATGAAATTGAAATTTTAATTGAAATAGAATCTGTCCGGAGCTATGCAGGCATTAAAAGACAATCCCATCTCCCTGTTACTAAAGAAGGATTCAACAATCATTTCCATATACGACCAGAATATTAAAAAAAAAAAAAAAAAAAAAAAAAAAAAAATGTAAAAAAGGTCCGGGTCAGTTAATAATTTAATTTCAATACCTGGACATAATAGTGGCCGAATGATTGAGATTCGAAATCTTCATTCGCCCGGCCACAAAGGAAAATAAAATAGAAAGGACTATTCATTTTTGAAAAAAAAAAAAAAAAAAAAAAAAAAAAAATAATTTTAAATATCACTGGATCAATATGATTATTAATTGGTAGTTTATCCTTTCTCTGACAACTCCCAAAAATGCAACGTTGTTAATTGTTGATTTTTCTTTAAAACACATATTTCGAAGAATTTTAAAGTTTTATTTTTCTTTTTATTAATTCAATTGAACAATTTCTCAATATGTTAGTAGCTTTGCTGGATAATTTTTTCAGCATTTAAATTTTATTTTTAAATATTTAAATGCAAAAAACAAAAAACATTTTCTAAAATTCATTTCCTTGGATATTGAAATTCAAACATTTGTGATAGAACCGACGAATATTTTCGCATCTTTCAGTCTACAAGTCTTTGAATTTACCGACAGACTTGTCGGATCACAAAAAAAAAAAAAAAAAAAAAAAAAAAAAAAAATTGGAAAAAAGTACGCACGCCATAATCATTATTTAGCAGAGTTCAATTCAATATGAAAAACAAAATTATTACCAAAGTTAGCAAGTCTGGTTAATGCCTAGCAAAAGGCTAAAAAGTAATTCCCAATAATCGCGTAGGTGAATTGAACCTTCTGACTCCCTTTTGCCCCCAAAACTAACTCTAGGACAGGCGGGAATATAACGTGAAAGTGATCTAACATTTACCCCACCACAGAGGAAAAAAAAAAAAAAAATTAAATTTACCTTAAGTAAGTCATTTAAACTAATTATTTTCAAGAAAATATTTAAATCACGAACCTTTGAATATGACGCATGATTTATTTTATTTATTTTTTAAGTAATAAACAAAAAGCTCCACCACCGGCGTTACCATATTGCCAGTGACAATATTCTGTAACCATCACAGAAACACATTGAAAACAGAAAAGATCGCTCTGTGAGAGTGATTTTTGTTAAAATAAATTAATGATCTTCAAAGTTTTTCACCTTGAATTGAAATACAACCAGTGTTCCCCACTCCCTTTCTACTAAAAATGGAAGTTTTTATATAGGAAAAATTTTCTGCAATAATTTTATTCAAAACCTCAATGAAGAAAAGCAACAAGAAAGCCGCGTCTTGAGAAATATTACGTAAAAAAAAAAAAAAAAAAAAAAAAACTTGCACGCAGTCCGCAGCTTGATGAATGAATCATCAGCATCTACACGCACACACCTTTTAAACGCTTCTCTACTTATTAACTGTTTTTGTAATACCAGAATGTAAATTGGTTTGGAAACAAATTCATTAAGTTTTTACGGTAGAGAAAAGACCAAAAAACTATTTGGAAAACAAAGAAAGAAAAATCAGCTGTTCTGTTTTTAATCAATGAATCACTCGTGGCAACAACAGTCACCAATTATTCCTCTTCCTTATTTAATTTGACAATCATTTTTAGTTGTTTTGAAAATAACTAAATAAAATTAGACCTTTTCATATAAGGATTGTTTCAGTAAAAATAAATAGAAAGATTTTAAAATAAATTTTAAAAAAACTGACGATTTTTTGTAACTTTTCGGTTTGACGTAATTTTTTATTTTATTTTTTATACTGGGTGAAAAAAAAAATATAATTTACAGAGACACACACATCACCCAAATTAAAAAAAAAAAAAAAAAAAAAAAAAAAAAATCTTATTGTTTCTAGAGTGTGTGTGCGGTAAAAAAAAAAAAAAAAAAAACACGCGTACGCCATAAAGGAAATATTTAGCCGGCACGACAATATTTTTTTACGTTTTTTTAGAGAATAAATGATTGATTCACTGAAAAAAAAAAAAAAAAAAAAAAAATATATATATTGTGTCGGCTAAATATTTCCTTTTTTAATTAAGATTTGCAATCGAGAAAGATTTATAATTGCGTCGACGATAATTTTTGTTAATGGAAATAATTTTAATTTTATTAATACTTTTTGCGGCTTTGCCTAATTCAAAATTCTGTTCGAGTTTGAATGTTTTTTCTTGGCTTTGTTGAAGGAGGAAACAAAACTAGAATTTCACTCAGGGGCAACTAACAAATCTGATATTAAAGTTTAATTCATTGGAAAGTTAAAATAAAAATAATTATCCAAGAAGTGCAATAAATATCTAACTTTGTTGTTGCAATCAACATAAATGGATTAATTTCCCCATCACATTAATTTTTAGTTAAGTAAGTGGAGTTGATAAGTGTTGATAAGGAATTTTCTGTTAAATATTTCTCAATAATGTTATGGTTGGCTGTGTTAAAGTGTTCATCAATAATTAATTAAAAAAAAAAACAAAACAAAACAAACTAAATTAACTAAGATAAAATAATTAAGTTCTGAGAAGGGGACTGAGAGTAATTTACATTGTGCAAAATTAATCAATTAATACAATTTTTAAAATTAAAAATATTAAAAAAACATTACTAATTTTATTTTTTAATAATTATCGATTTGCTGGCCAAGGAAGTTAATTTTTTCAAGTTATTGGTGGACATAGCTTTTATATTTCATCATCCGACAGACGGAAAAAAATTAAGTCTGATAAATTTTTTTTTAAATTTTCAAAATTTAAAATGTTTTTAAATTTTTAGCTTGTTGGGGTTTTAAATTTTCAAGTGTTAGTTTAAAATTTAAATGGCTTGCGGTTAGCAATTTTATTTAAGTTTGATACCTTGAAAAGGTAGAGATTTGCTTGTTTACTTACAGTTTAGTTTTAGTAACTAAAACTATTTCAAAAACTGATTTTTACATCAACTATAAAAATGAATGAAGGAGTCGTTCACAATCAGTACTCCAGTTGAGAAAAATAAAAAGCTGAAAACAAAAATAAAAGATTACACTTACAGATACCATAAGAACAGAAAACTTGAGTATAAATAAATAAATAAATAAATAAATAAATAAATAAATAAAAAACAAAAAAAAACGTGATTTTCTTTATTTTTTTTTGTATTTTAAACTGAACTGTTCCTTTTTGTGCTAAGAGATGAAAATTAAGAAAGAGCATTTAAAAATCTTTCGCGTTTTTTTTTTTAAAAAAGAAAAAATGGAATTTCTATTTACACTCGGGTATTTGGGGTAGTTTCTGAAGACTAGACAACGATTTCATTCTTTAATGAAAATGGTGGGGGAACGTATATGATTTCATTTTTTAAATTTATAGTTTTTATTATTGTTTTTAAGAAATTTATGCATTTTCTTTGCAGAATATTAAGTCAGAAATTAATCTAAGAATTAAAGGCAGTTAAGTTTGTTTTGTTTTTTTAAATATCATTTTTAGGAGGTGGAAGCGACCCACTTTAAAAACTTTGTAAACAAACAAAACAACGAAACGTCAATTTAATTGTCACAACTCTTTGGGAAGGCAGAGTAATACCATATTCAATCAACATATTTTTCTTTCTAGTTGACCAGAACTATTCTTTTGTCACGATTTGAATCTGAATATTTCTGCCATAAGGCTAGGTTAATAATGCAATGTTATTAATTATTTGATTAAATTAAAACTAAAATCAAAATCAACAACGTAAGAAGAGTAAGAAGACCCTTTAAAAAAAAAAAAAATATTTCTGGAGTGGAAACGTTTCCAGAAACGGAATTTTAATTATTAGTCGACACAGACACACGAATTATGAGGCCGTCAAATACTGCTTCTTTATTAAATAATTGCCAAATTTTAAGATTTAGTTTTGTTTTTTTTGTTTTTTTTTAATTGTCACTTACTGACGTTCAAAAATTGATCCATTGGTAGATGAACGCTTCATGTTGGGATGTCAAGAAAAAAAATCATTTAAATTAAAAATACTTTTCCCTATTTTAGTTTAATTTCTGACTTTTTATTTATTTTATTTTTTTTTATATATTATTTCATTTCTGGTTTTAAAAATTGACGACACATTTCGATTTGTTTGCCAACTAAGGCGGCTTAATTTTCTAAGCTAAACCGAAACCGGAAAAAAATTATTTTTAAACTTTGAGAGCGGATACTGGTTTTATTTTTAAGGCAAAATAAAATATTAAAAAGAAAGTAACCAAAAGTGTCATAAAAAATGTATTAGAAATTCGCTAACCCGGCATTTGAAATTATTGATAAGGTTGTTTTTTGTTTTGTTTTTTTAATTTGTTTTTTTTTTGTGTGTGTTTTTAAACTTGAAGTGTATTGATTGATTGATTTAAAGTTTTTTTTTAACGTATTTATTGTTGTTGAGTTAACTTTGGAGATAACTTTCTTGCTCGCGTTTTTTTTTTTTTTTTTTTTTTTTACACAAGTAAAAGATAATAATGAATGTATAAAGAAAGTTTCAAAGCTAAACTTACGGTTCACGAAGTAGTGAGCAGGAATCTAACACATTCCGGACAAACAGTGATTTCTGGTTGTAATAAAGTTCCGGAGAGAGGGAGGGACTGCACAGGTTAAGCAGACGAATCACTCCATAAAGGACGCAAATGAGGAATACTCCTAACAGAACCGACATAGCATTTCTGATAAGCCGCACCACTATCTTGCTAGCAGATGCGTGCACGTGAATGACAAAGGAGCAAAGATACGGACGGCGCCTATAAATATACCTGGGAAGAACTGCTGCTACTAACAGCGGCTGCTGCTTTTTTGTGGTAGTGGTAAGAGTAGACAAAGAAAATGTGGTTGTAGTAGTTGAAACCGTGGGAGTAGCAACCAAGTCAGTAATGATGATGATGATGATGATGATGATGATAGTAGTGATAGTAAAAAGGTTTAATAACGTAGTCAATTTGCCGTTGTTGCTTAAACAATATTGGTTGTAGAATTTTATTTTTTTTTATATTATTAAGACCAATATCGTACTGACAATAGTAGTTTTGAAGTTTTGTAGTAGTGGCAAATTGAAATACTAAGGCACAACGAAGAAGCATAAAGTTGTCTGCTACTGAACTTAACTTCACTCCGAATAGAGGGGTTTGGCTCGTCTAGTAAAGACAGTTACTTATTTCTTATCATATTCATAATTTGAAAAAGGAAAATCGCAAAGGAAGATTTTGGAGCAGAATTATAGATGTACCTTTCCCTAGCAGGAGGTAGTTGATTAAATTGTGCTGGGACTAGCATTACTTACTTTCTTGTCTCTAAATCAGCTGACGAGAGAAGTTGACCATCTTATTCTTATTTTTTTAAAAAAGAACCTTTAGTTTTTAGATAAAAAAGTCTATCAGATATAAGATTGGATTAAAAGATAAAGTTAATAAAAATATCTTAGATTTAATTCAGAAAGCCAGGTTAGGTTAGTGATGCTTGATACTCTCAACTTCTCAAGGAATATAATAGCAAGCTTTTCTCTCTTGTGAGCATCCAGCCACCCACTCTGAAGTGAAGTTCATAGTATAAACCAGAAACCTTATTTCTGAACGTCTACATTACAATAAACATGCTTTTAAATTTTAAACAATAACGTATTAGTTCTGGTCAAAAGAACGAATATTCATACTTTTTAAACCAGGATTTTTAGAGAAAAAGATATACCCATGCATACTGTGTACTTCAATAAAAATCTTCAAATGACCAGATAGAGAGAAAGTTAAAGTGTGTGTACTGTACACGGTTCATATGACTGATAAAAATAAATACTGACAACGAAACAAGATGATTTAAAAACGGTATTTCAAAATAAATTAATGGAAAAAATCTTTCGTACACCTTAATAGGGGGTGCCGAAAATAAAAGTCCTCAATCCGTCTAAGAAACCCTTGGTGGGGTAGGGAGATATATGGTCTGTTGGGGAAGTGGGGTGTACCGTTAATTTTGGAAATAATTTTTTATTGTAAAAAATGCAGAACAATGCCCCACCCGTGCTTGCATGCATACAAATATTTAAAAAAAAAGTTAGGATGGCGATACTTTAGGTATTGTCTTTCATTATTTTTATTTTAAAACTGGTATATATTTCAATTTCATTCTGCAAACTAACACTTCTTGAAGTTCATTTCTGAATAAATATTCACAATATTCCTATTGATGAGGGAGTTCAGTGCGTGCCTTTTTCTTTTAAAATCTTTCTGTGTAGGCATCATTCTGCATTTTTACTTAAATCAGTCTGTCTGTTACTTAGCTCCCGATGGTGGGTGCGTCACTTTCCAAAAGAAAGAAATACTGTACACTACAGGAATAAGAAAGACTGAGTGAAATAGTAATAAAAATCCGACAGCAAGTCTATGTTACTTTCTATTCCATTTCCATTTTTCTTTCGCACAGTTTTTTTTTTTTTTTTGCTTTTCTCCTTCACTCATGTGTTCATTCTTTTTCTCCTTTGCTTTCCACATTATATTTTTTAATGAGTGTAGGTACTTACTTAAAAATTTTAATGTATTAATTAAAATATGAAAAATCTTTCTTGAAGCTTTTATTTTAGTTTTAATTTCAAGCTAATAGATTAATTAAATTAAATTTTGTCATTAAAAAATGTAAATATAAAATAATTAACAATACACTAAGTTTGTTTATTGCTCTTCCTCTTGAGAGGGAGAATATAAAAATTCATATAAAAACTGTAAATTAAATAAATGATTAATAAAAAAAGTGTAGAAAAAAAATAAATAAATATTTAAACAGTAGATTTTTTTTATTATACTTGCTTTTAAGAGAAAACCAGACAATTAATAAATAATTAATAAATTTGATGTGAAACATTTTAAAATTTTCTAAAAATAGCATGGCTCAAAAAAGAATTGCTGAAATAAGGTGGACGGTTTAAGATTTAATTTTCAAATTTGAAAAAGATATATACCTTTGGATTTCTTGACTAATCAAAAAGGGGACTCAATGTATAATAACAGAGCTAAAATTTATACTACTAATAAATATATACTTTTTCCCTCACCATTAGAACTCTCAGGTATGATGGAATTGTCAGGTGCAGATTGAATTATATGTATATTGTTAAAAATAATAGGCATTTTGAATTTATTAAATTTAATAACCTTTTTTTTTAGTAATGTAAGGAAGATCCTTTTGCAAATGAGGTGGTTGTATATGTATAAATTAGTTAAAAAATTAATGTTGCATAGTCTAAGCTTTTGACTCACATGAGTCATCATTAGAGACTGTGAGTGAGAAAATAGAATTGTGTTTTAAGGAGTAGCTGCATTCAATTTATTTTATATACACAGTATTTGTCCACATATAAAGTGACCTTTAGATAAAATGAGGTCAAAGATATAGTAAATTTTCATGAATTTATCCTATAAAGACAAAAGGAAAACTTATCTTATCCAATACGTTTTGTCATCCAAAGGACTTTATCAAGGCAAATGCAAGGATTATATTTTGTAACAAGTATTTATATAGATGAACAAAAATGTTATTGTTTTTTCAAAATTTTTGATATAGGGGTGCTGATGAGTATACATGACCAGTCTTATACCAAAAATTTTGAGAAACCAACAATATTTTTTCTCTTGGATATAAATATTTGTTACAAAATAAAATCCTTATATTTGCCTTGATAAAGTTCCTTGGGGGACAAACGACATCAGCTAAGATATGTTTTCCGTTTCTCTTTATTCATATTGTCCTTTTACAGATATACTCCATCTGAAATTTTTACACACACACACACACAGACAGGATTAATATGAATATAAAATTTGTCACTTCATTGATTGATGTTATATCTAGCACCCTAACTCCAGAGTTTTGAACACAAACTTTTTTTAATCATTTGGTCCACTTGTCAGGAGGTTTCAGCACTATATATATATATATATATATATATATATATATATGAAGAAATATACTCTTAAGGTGTGCTATACTTATGGGATAAAATGCTCAATATCAGAGATAGAGTGTGTGTAAATATAAAAGTGAACATTGAAGTCAACACTTAGAGGTGACAGGCTGGCATGTTAGATGCAATCGTGATTGCATCTAGCATGAAACAGCCTGTCACCTCTAAGTGTTGACTTTAATGTTCACTTTATATGTATATATATATATATATATATATATATATATATATATATATATATATATATATATATATAATTTACTTCTTAAAACAGAATTGTGAAAAACCAACCACACTTTTTGGAGGAACTGATAACAAAGAAATAGTTCACGATTTCACAATTATCACAAAATCTTTGAACAGCTTATTTCATGTCTGACTATCATGAAGTTTAATCACTCCAGAATAATATCAAAACTTGAGGACAGTACGTGTAGTCAAGCATGATCCAACCCAGAAAACATGGTTTGAATTTGGACTTTTTGTTCTCCTAGACCGTTGGCCATGCAAGGCAGTCAAGTCCACTCTTCCCTGCTATTTAAGCCATGGCGGGAGGAAGGTGGATTCATGATTTTTCCAAGAGCATTAGTGCAAATTGAACAAAACAGAATTGACTGAGGCTTAGATTCTGCTTGCCAATTCCAATTTTTGTTACACTGCACACACTCACACACACACACACACACACACAAGAAAAACACTTTTCAAGTATTAAACTGATACATTTTTTAATCAATTTACACCAAGCAAGGTGATAATGCTACTCAGACACAAGGGTCTACCTGGAGTGAAAGAGAATGAAAAAGACTTTAGAAAGAACTGGAAGCCCAACCCTAAACAGACAACAAGGGATAAACCTTTACTCCTTTTCAAAAGCCCAATGACCTGGACGATAGGTGGATCTATTTTGATCCTTAACAGAACATGCAAATACTCCTATGCCAGGCCAAAATGCCAATTCATATATAAGCAAACCCATCATATCTTTACAGTTGATATTCAAATGTAAGAAGTCAGAATATATGGTCATTAGCAAAAGGAACAGTCCAAGATACAAGCTACAAATTGGAGAGGTAAAATCAATGAAGTACAGAAATTTAACTATCAGAAAAGTGGTAGAACAGATGGAAAATGTGACACAGAAATCCAAAGGCATATTGGAATAATGAAATATACCTTCCAAAATCTAAGCAAAATATTAGAATCAAAGAAAAATGGTACTAAGCTGCTATATAATATCAATCCTCCTTTCTGGCATCAAATGCTGGACAATTTCCACACAGATGAAAGCACAGTATTGAGACAACGGAGATGTTGTTCTAAAGAAGGATGCTGAAAATAACATGGAGGAGGTTTTAAGGAAAATGGGTACAAAAAGGAGTCTTATACTTAGAATCAGAAAGAAACAGTTGAGATTTCTGGGATACGTAACAAGAAAAGAGCTTGGAGAATAGGACACTCACAGGATATAATAACGGCAAGAAGGAAACATCATGTAATTTACCTGATGAGCTTGTGTAAATGGTAGAGCAGACTAAGGGTGGGAATAGTAAAGGGATACACATTGTTTAGCACTACAAAAAGTATGATGTTATGGAGAGCCATGATTGCACATGTTCTGAAGGGACATGGCACATAAAAGAAAACAAAAAGGGTAGATTAAGTTTTTGGCAATGTTTAATATTCATGCCTGCAAAAAAGGTGTTTCAAAAGGA